TATTGGAAGGAGTGTTCCCAGTTTCAGTAAATGTCTTCTAAGGGGACAGGTACTTCTGTGCCAGAAATGCCTTCTCTGGAGGGTTCCAGAGAGAGAGCTGAGGAAATAGTAGCTGCCTGGGAATGTGGCTGTTGGCATCATGAGGCAAAGGATGGGAGCTCAGAACACCTCTCCCTCTCTGAATCCAGTGCCAGCTTCCTCGGTGAGGGTCATCTCAGAGACTCTCCTTGCTCTGCACTGACACTGGTAGGTGAAGCACACAGCGTGGTGGAGTCCAAGGTTCTCAAAATGTTTTCCTTGGACCACTTTGATTGAACCAGCTGGAGTATCTGTTACGAAACAGATTTCTTTCGACCCGGATCATATGGCCCAGAATATCTATGGGTGGGGCCTGGGAACTTCATTTCAATGAGGTTTTTTTTGTTGTTGGGTTTTTTTTGTTTGTTCGGTTTTTGGGTTTTTTTTGGTATACAAATATTGGGAGCCATTGGTCTCTGGGTGTACTGAATGGAGAAAAGTTAATGTTTCCTTTATTGATATTTTTTTAACTGTTTATTTTTGAGAGACAGAAAGAGAAACAGAGGGCAAGCAGGGGAGGGGCAGAAAGAGAGGAACACACGAAATCTGAAGCAGGCTTCAAACTCTGAGCTGTCAGCACAGACCCCAACACAGGGCTCGAACTCATGAACAGAGAGATCATGACCTGAGCTGAAGTCGGACGCTTAACCGACTGAGCCACCCAGGTGCCCCTAATGTTTCTTTTATTTTTATTATTTTGACTCCCACTGTGTGTAGTTAATCAGTTACAACTAAAATTGTCCCCTTTAAACCTAGCAGTATGTAAACGTTTCACAAATGGTGAGTTTTCCAAGATGTCCCTAACCATGTTTTTTCCTCTGTGCTTGCTTCTAAGTTTGGTCATGCCTTTATGTCTTTTTGCAGCACTGCTCAGCTTTTAACATCCAGTACTGTTACTTGTTCTGCTATCAGCCACCTTAGCTGCCATCAGGTAGGTCACCCAGGCTCCTAAATGATGTGATATTTCTGCCACTCTTGCCTGAGAATTAACTGGGAATTAATTTGGCCGCACCTTCCAGTCTGGGGAACTTCTTGGCACTGCTCGGGATTACCTGTGTCAAGTCTGTGATCCTTAATGAAACTGCAGTACTGGCTTAAGGATTTGGAGAATGTAGCCCAAGGAAAATGGTCACAAACTATTTCATAGGTGGGGTGTGTGTCCCTTCCTTGAATCTGGACAGGCTTTGTCCTCCTCTCTAGGATTCCACGTGGAAAGGCATTCTGCCAAGTTGCCAAGCTGGAGAGTGAAGCTACCATGGGCTTCCAGATCAGGTCAGTCTCAGCTGAAACCCCAGAAGGACCCAGTCCAGGCCTCATAGAGCAGATGAACTGCTCGGCCAAGCCCTGCCTGGATTCCTAACCCACAAAATCATGAGAGATATAAAAGGGTTATTTTTTTTTTAATTTTTGATTTTTATTTTTTAATTTATTTTTTATAGGGGGTTATTGTTTTGAAGCCACAAAATTTTGTGGAAGCTTGTTAGGCGGGAATAGATAATTAGATGTGTGTGGGTGTTGCGGTGAGTAACCCTGTTGGTATATTAACTTATTCTTAACATGGGGTTGTTGTTTTTATACCTGGAAAGAGTAAATTAGAAAACCAGCGGCAATACTGGTAACAATAACTCAGTACGGTAAAATGCCTATATAATACTCACCAGAACATAAATTATGTAGCAACTAAGTAAAACATATGCTTTACCTAATGAACTCAGAACAATTTGAGGATTTTTCTTGAGTTATAAAACAGTGTACTTCCCAATATTTAGGAAGGAAATGGATATAAACTGAGCTGAATATATCATGGAGGAAACAGGCATGAAGAAATTAAACCAGTTGCTTACATGTTCACCAGAGTGTGGGTTAGCAACGTGTTCATGCATAAACTAGACCCCATAGACCAGTGTCTTTCAAACTTCTTTGATTGCAATTCACAGTAAAAAACCTCCTACTTGGACCTTGTAGACGTGTAACCACTGGAGCAAACTCCATGAAATACTACTTACCCTTATCACATATAATGTACTCTAATACATTTTATTCTATTTTCTTCGAAAACTGCTGGCAAAACATACTACATAAATTTCAGGACCCATTACTAGGTTACACACTACAATATGGACAACAGTGGTCTAGATGCCGAGCTTCATGAGACTAGGGGTTCTTTTTCTCCACTGTGTACCTCGGTGCTTAGAAATTTCTGTTGTATAGAAGGTACTTAAGCATTTAATGAATGAATGAATTTCATGACTCTAGTTCCAATTTATGAAAATGGGTAGGATATTAATCACGAATCAGGAAACCCAGAGTCAATTTTTGAATCACCGTGTATCTTTGAGAAGTACCTTTCATATTTTCTCACCTGTGAAATGGAACTTGTAGTATCTACTACTCACGGGATAAAAGGAGCCCACAAATAAAACTATTTTGAATAAAATATAAAGAATTACAAATAACAGATTAATGTACTTGTTACTTCTGCAATTTGATATGCCTAGAGTTATCACATGAATACTTCTTCACCTTATCATTTTAATACCACTTCGTTAACATGGATTAGAGAAAAACTACTAAACAAATGAGGTCCTTTTTAAAGAAAAAAAATTTTTACTTAAAATTTCATTGAGTAACAAAATAGTTCTAAAACGTTGGGCTGGGTAGGTGCTTACTTCGAAGTATCTAATGGGGCGACTTGCAGATTAGCATTCTGCGTGAAAGCTTGAAATACATTGTTTTTGTGTAAGTGCATATTTCTGAAATTCTGAAGAGAGACTTGGTTGGGTAAAGTGCCCTTGGTATTCCTTCAGGAATTTATTAATTCCAAGTATGTATATTAGAAAATGCTGCCATTTTGAAATTACTGAGGTTTATATGTATAAATGTCTGTGGAAGGGGCTTTGTTAAATTGTTTGAATAACAGCTGGGAAATCTGAGCTCTGAGAGCAGGATGACTTTTGCTCAGAAGTCAGTCTTGCTGTACAGCCTTGGGTAACTTTCCTATTGTTATCCCTGTAAAGCCTACCACGTACCTAACTTCCTGGGAACTTTCCCGGCTTGCACCCTGACTGAAGTGGCAGGATACAGTTGTTGGATGCACTGCCTTTGAAATCAGAGAAACCGACTCTAAATTCTGGTTCTGCCATTTTCAACATGTGGGACCCTGGGTAGGTTTCTTGATGTCAGGGAATTGCGTGCATTAAATAAGATACAGCACATGTGCACACGTGTATGACATTTTTAGCACGATGCCCAGCAGATAGAAAAGAATCAGTGATAGTTCCATTGGCTGTTCTTATCATTGTTGTTTTTATTTGCTATTGCCAGTTGTTTCTTGTCTGGTCTAGCTAGCTGCTACAGTTGGGCTCTAGAAAAAAGATGTGCCTGCTCAAGAAATAAGCAGGTTTCTCTGGGGTCCAAGGAAAATGATCACAAGTCTTACCATGCGCTGGCACTCAACCATCGTGACACCTAGAAATTGAGCTGAAAAGACAAGAAGATCCCTGTCTCCACCGAGGAGTGGCATATCCAGTGCATCCGTGAACGTGTCCTATCAGCCGGCAGCCTTTCCTTTGTTTGCTGGGGGAAGGGCAGCCCTGTTAAATTTTATACTTTGCTGCAGAAACTGGGGCACTAATGTGATTGCTCACTCTGTGATGCTGAGCTATTTTGAAGCATCCTTTCTGATCGACTCGAGGCAAAATGGTGAGGCAGTCATTTGTCTCTGTCACTCCAGTCTTCCTTCCCTCTCTTGTGGCTTCCTTCCTCCGCCCCCCTCATCCTTCTGTCAGTGAATTTCTCCTGCTTCAAACCACAGATAAGCTGAAAATGGCTTAAAAGGTTGTCCCCTTTAGGTACACTGTGCCTGAGAATTTAATGAGAGGCTCTCTAAGGATAGTGTTTCAGATGTTCGCAGGCCAGTCAGAGATGCAGTGGTGGCCTGGGCTGTTGCTCCGCTACCCTTCAGCTGGTTTGCAGCTGAAAAGCCCTGTGTCATTGAAGTACGAGGAAGATACATTCTGGCGTTTTTCAAGGTGTGTTCCATGGAATCTTAGCTGGTTTAACTGTGCTTGAATACTTTTAAGGAACTGTAAATAACCAAGTTAAACAGATTGCCTTGCTCTCGGGATTCTTAAAACTAACATGCTCATGGTAAAGGTGGTGCTTCAAACTTCTAAGGGGGTATTTAGGATGAACCATTTCCTGTCTTTTTTTGGTTATCTTCATTTAATTTTTCATGAAGCACCTTTATCATCTGTGTGACACAGGACATACTTTGCAGAGCACCAATCTAGTCCGACCCTCTGGGCCAGTGAGTAAAGCCACAAATAATAAAGTGATGTGCTCAGCGTTTCCTATTGAATTGATTGCAGAGTCAGGACTAAGAAGTAGGTGCCCTGACTCCACAATACGGTCAAAAATTCTAAGTGCGGGGGCGCCTGGGTGGCTCAGTCAGTTAAGCGTCCGACTTCGGCCCAGGTCATGATCCCACAGTTTGTGAGTTCGAGCCCCGCGTCGGGCTCTGTGCTGGCAGCTCAGAACCTGGAGCCTGCTTCGGATTCTGTGTCTCCCTCTCTCTCTGCCCCCCCCCCCCCCCCCTGCTCATGCTCTCTCTCTCTCAAAAATAAATAAACATTTAAAAAATCCCAAGTGCAGTTATGGATTTAATGTCTGTGTTCCCTGCTAGACTGTATGTACCATTAAAACAGGAGCCTTGACTTTCACTCACCTCTGTATCCCTAGCACCTAGCATACAGTACCTGACACACAGTGGTTGAACCAGCACTTATTAAATTGAATTGAGATTGTTCATGGGGGATGGACATGGGTTGTCCTTGCCTATTCCTGTTCATTGCTTCCCCTCTGAGCCTCCTCTCTGCTATAGTGCTATTCATGGAAGGGTCACTGCCAAGTTCTATACTTACACTGAGAATATGTGGTCCCCGTTCCGCTGACACTGAACCTGTTGAGGTGCAGTCTGTGTGTGACCACATTCTTCTGGGGTTGGAACAGGATGATGTGCACCTTGGGTGCAAACAAACAGCCCAGGACCACGAAGCCACTCAGGCTAACAGAGATGCACATGGTTGTTGTCTGCACCTACAAGAAAAGGTTGCCTAGTTAAATGTCTGGCTGTAAATGCAACCATGTCACCTACTAAAAACAACACTGAGAAAAGACCAAACCAAGAAACCCAAATCATCCACAGTTCTGTTGTTAGTATAACCAAACCAATAGAATGATGAAATGAGATCTTTTGAACTTGAGATGTTCATGGAAACATTGCTTAAGATCTGTTAGCAAACACATTTGTGTTAGGTGTTCCTGAATGCTTGCCAGGATTTTACATGGATTTTCTTGTTTTGTTTCTTTTCTTCTTTATATTTGTATAAAGACATTTCTGCAGAACCACCTAAGTCAGAATCTTAAATAGTAAAATATCAACATTCCCTGATGAAGTGACCAGATTGCTGATGGTTTCAGTCATTCAACTTAGCTTGTTTAAGGTTCACTGTACCATGAACAAATCTGAGGGGCCATTTACATTTCCCCATCTTTTTTTTCTTTTTTGCTGGGAATTCTGCCCATCAGCTATTGGTTACCCCACTCAAAATTGTGAGACACTGTCAACTGTCTTATGGGCTACCTGTAAGTTATTTCATTGGCAACCCTCTGGAATCTTGATACACGACGTACTCACTGTTCAATCATTTTGTTCTCTAGGCTTCCGTACGTCTGTTCTTGGCAGAGAACTTGCACCTGCTTCCTCTTTGCCTCCCGTGAAAGTACCCCTCAGAACTAGGTTTTATCGTGCCTTGTTTTCATTCTTTTGCTTTCCCTCTTCATCTCTGCTGATCTCATCATCTGTCCTAACTTCAGCTCCCACAGATTTTCTAGAAAATCCTAAATTAGCTTCTACATATTTTATTGCTTTCAGTACTAAAAAATGGAAATTAATTATTTCTTCTATCAGTCTCACTCAGAGTAGCTATGGTAAATCCTAGGGTAATTTTAGATTTCTTTGTCCTTTTGCTCCAGGCAATGTTATTACCAGATAGCATAATCTCTCATGCCCTCAAGTGTTTGACCTTCTCTAATCAGAGAAAGTGCAAGACTGAACAATTAACTGGAGAAGCCGCATAACTCTAGAAGGCTGCGTTCTGGTTTGACTAGACAAAATTCAGGTTACCCCTGTAGCATTATTCTTCAGATTCTGAGTTTACTTTGTATGCCAAAAGGACAATCTACCCTATTTTAAAGCTCCTGTCCCTTTTAACTGCTCCAGTGCCCTCCACTTGACCCCACACTGCAGGCTCCTTTCCCTTTTGCCAACTTCTCAGAAAAGAGTCCACTCACTAATTTTGCAATGTAAAAGCCTTGATAAGCCATCACTGTGTTATTTATAGCGGGTCCAATTTCTGGCGTAATTTTTTTTTTGTATTGATGTGTACTATCAGAACTGAACTCTTCCTTTAGAACTATCCTCTTCCATCTTCACTTTTGACTGGGGAGCCAATATGAGAGGTGCCAGATACTAGAGTGAGGGGAGGACAAGTTCAAATATATCATCTTTCAAGGAAACCTTTTCTAATAATATTCTATAACGCTGAAGCTTCTCACACACTTTAAGCCGTTACAAGGGGGAGGAGAGGCTTTTATGAGGAGGATATCTTAAAAAAAGGCTGTGCTGTGAGTTCTAGACCTTTCCTCCCTGAAGGAAGGTTGTGCTTTTCTCCTCACTCAAGACCTGGAGAGGAATGCTTCAGTGTGGCTATTCACAGACTGTTTGAGGCTTTTCTGCAGGAGGAAGATGTCCTGGCTTGAAGCCTGATTCCTGTCCTGGAAGTCTAGGAGGTGAGAAAAGGTTTATTACTTTCATGGCAGAGCACAGACACTTGCTACCGTATTGAGACAGCCCTTTACTGTAAGAATTTATCAAAGCAAAGGATGTGTGAGTGCCGTGCATGGACTGGATGTCCCACACTATAAAGACCATCATGGGTAGTCTTGTGCTCCTTTGGAGCAGCTTGAGTCCTTCCTAGAAAGAGGCCGGTGGCCGGGTGTAGTTGGGTGCCCTGGGACTGAGCACGGGGCCACAAGGGACAGGTCAGAATAGGACTTGCCAGCCAACTCACTCAAGAACCTGCAGGAGAAAAAAACCAGCCGGATATTTCTGAACATTGCATGAGAACACGCTTTAATCATCTTCCAGGTATCCCAAGGATGTGTCTTTAACAAACATGGCAGAGATCATAAAACTATCCATTTACGTAAGAACTGTCCTGCTTCTTCCTTATTACTCTCTGACCAGGGCCAGTGGTGAGATGGGGAGTGTGAATAAGAAGAATGGAAAAGCCAAGCACTGCAGGCTCTCTGCCCCAGGCAGGCCAGACTTCGGGAGAACATGAGATGTAATGTTAAGTCAAGGTATGGTTTTGATAATTATACAGGACTAGGCACTTTGATTTCCTAATAGAGACTACTTTCTGTTGAAGACGATTGTGGGACCATGTGTTACCTAACAGCACACACATTCATGGGCCAACCAAACTCATGAGCGTTTTCATTCATTGCTCTATCCCCAGCACCAGAACGGAGCCTCATATGATGAACGCTCAGTATTTGAATGTGTTCACTGGGATTTCCATGCAGGGGTGGGCGATTATTACTCTCACTAATTACTAAAGGGGCAATGGGTGCCAGAACTAAAGATGCATTTTGGTCATAGTTTATGTAGCATATTATTTAATATATTTGTTTTGATTGGAAACCTTTTAGATTTTTATAAAGCCGAAGTACTGGCCTCATAAATTGTTCAGTTCTTTTAAGAAGTCATGCTACTTACTAATGGGCGCCTGGGTGGCTCAGTCGGTTAAGCATCCAACTTCGACTCAGGTCATGATCTCACGGTTTGTGAGTTTGAGCCCTGCCATCAGGTTCTGTGCTGACTGACAGCTCAGAGCCTGGAGCCTGCTTCAGATTCTCTGTCTCCCTCTCTCTCTGCCCCTCCCCTGCTCATTTCCTCTCTCTCTCAAAAATAAATAAACATTAAAAAAAATGTAAGAAGTCACAGTACTAAAAGTCTGTATTTACCTATAATTCTTTGTTCTGCCTTTTTGTACCCTATCAGTCCATGCTGCTCTGCTTTCAGCTTCCTCAAACTTCCAGCAACATTGGACATGCTTCCTTCGTTTTAGCTTCCTGACATCCTTCCCTCACTGAAAGTTCCTTGTCTTAGTTTTGTTTTTGCTGTTGGCTTTTTTGCTTCTACCTGAATTTTAAGTGCTGGAGTGTCTCAGACCTCAGTTTGGTTTCTCTTCACTTCATCTCATTGGGTTCCATGGCTTAAGTACCGCCTATGTTGATGTTGCTCAAGTATTTATTACTAGTTCCAGCCTATCTTATGGGCTTCCAGACATATATTCAACTGCTGTCTTGGCATACTGTACTGGATATGTCATAGGCATATTGGGATTAATATGTAAAACTTGATGCCCTCCCCCAGGTACTTGAGTACGTGACATAAAATCCCACCCAGCTGTGCAAGCCACAAAAAAGGGAGTCATCCTTGATTTTTGCCTTTTCTCTTACACCCACACATCCAGTCCAATAGCAACTTCTGTTCGTTCTTTTGGAATATAATTTTCTATGGTCTCTTCTAGCATGTCTTTCAAGCACAGGCACTGACTGCCTCTGTTCTGGACTTTCTTTCCACGGTAAAGAGGTTCTGGGCCTTCTTTGTATGGCAAAGAGACTTAGAAGATGGAGATAGTGCCTACTTTTGGAGCAAAGAGCCAGAATATCATCCATTACAAAAGGTTCAGGTTCCGTAACCTCACATTGCCTCCCCCGTAACGCTGCCACTGACCGTGCTGTGGTGACACGGGCCACTTTGCCTAGCCCATGGGAAGTGGAGTTCAGGGAACCAGAGCCAATGCTGACCCTCTCTGGCTACCACTATTGCTTTGAGTCATAAAGTTTTTTGATCAACATCAACAAAACTCTGGCAAGCTAATATGTTACCTTATAAGTAGAGTCAAATCTGAGATGCTACAATCTTCGATAGTTTTGGCAACAGGATCGCAATGGTTTTCTCACAGAGGAAGTGTGAGGGCTTTGTGGGCTGAATAACAAAATGTGAGAGAAGTCCATGGGAATCAGTAGAAAGCATGCTGACCAAATTCTATGGCCAACCAGGCAATAAACAATGCTCCACCTTATTCCCCAGTAACGAACGATGGGGATTTGGGGTGGGGGTTAGAGGCTGAGTAACTGGAAGTAGGTTTAGATAGAGCTGCTGGACCAGTGCCGTAGTTGTTGCTAACTCCTCTAGGGAGTGGGGTGGATTTCCTGTCTAATGTGGTTCAAGTCCTGGGTGGACAGAAACTTCAACTCGTTTTCACATAAAAGTTGCAGAGACACGCACGCATATTGAACACAAAAGGAGGGACCTTCAGAGAAGGCAGACATCAGGTGAGTCACCTGTACTGTGGCTGATTGTCCCAGGAGATGAGGGGGCAGGGTGCATAAATGCTTGCCACAGAATAACGGCACGTTGGGGCCCTCTCAGGGCTCATCCCTTGCTGTAGTCTCTCATGAGAGACTTAGATCCATTCCAAGAGGACAGAGTTCCCTCAGTTTTTTTTTTTTTTTTTTTTTTTTGCAGCACAAGCTGGTGGCAAAAAAGGAGCTTTTGTTCTCTCTGCAGGATTTCCCTGAGACAGAAAAATGCTCTGGAAAACCATAGATGAGGCACTGACTAGTATTTGGACTCTCATTGACTTGGATTGGGTGTAAAATGCTGACAAAGGGGCTGTACTAAAGAATGAGAAACTGACACAAAGAAATCTAGATAAGTTCTTGCAATTGGCTATAGCACGGGACAACTCCCCTAGCCATTACGTGAAAACCAGGCAAGACTCTAACAGATGTTATCATCACAAGAGAGCAAATGCCGTGGATTAAGATGGACTCCTTTAAAAACCAGTCACTGCTGTGTGTATCAAGGCTGGGTTAGCTAAACTGCACAAACCACGTGCCTCAGGCAGAAAGCTATCTGGCTCTGGCTTCCAGTCAAGGGCTCCCCGAAGTTGAAACGA